TAAACCCAAATTGATCTTCCCCTAATAGTTCTTCCGCCCTTTTTTCCATTCTTCTCTGTACAATATTCCATTCTAATACTACCAAAATATTTCTTAAGTCTTACAAATGCGACGCGAATTAGTGCTATAATAAATAAAATTAAACAGATAAGGGTGGGTAGAGAATAGTAATTTTTAACCCCCAGCTCCTTCGCCAATTGTGAAAATATTAATATTTATATATGTTTAAACTTATTATATTCATTTTTGTGTCTTAGTAATTTGAACCTTCTGAATTTGAAGATTTAATGTTGTAAGATGAATGTGGAAGGCAGTTATTAATTTCAACAAAATTAGGCCACAAAACAGACGATATCACATAAATAATCAACCCTGATTAAAATTCAGGCTTCAACAACAAATTTACAAAGTAAAATGTGTTTCCATCTTGCCTTTTATTTAAGGTAATTTGGATTCTCATATACCTAGTAAAAGAAGTATGAACTTTACCCCTATTCAAATAACCAACCCTTCTAAGTTCTCATTGTTTAAAGTACGTCAATAAAAAAAGGTAAGGTAGATTGGTAGGGCGCCTTCTTAGTTATGAAGGTTTAGTTAAAGATATATTAGAAGCAGAAACAGGAGTTAAGAGAAGTAGATTAGATTATTGTTCACAAATAGTTAAAGATCTGGAATGCTCCACTTTAAGCGAATATTAGCTTAGGATAGGAAAGAGTGGAGATGTATGTCCTATCAGTCTTATGATTGACGATCCTATAATTATGATGATAATGATATACTTAATAGAAAGTTTATTGAATTGACAAGAATTTTTACGGTGATGGTTTTTCCAAAGGGTTTCCTTCAGAGAACGATCAGTGAAAATATGGAATATTCCATGTGGTCTAAGTAAAAGTGCTTGTTTACCGTTAGTATTANAGTTCTACTGTTTTAATTTCCATCTCAAATTCAAATTCCAATTACCCGTCGGTTCTGAATTACCCCACTCTTTTCCACACATAATAACGTGTTACATTCAAGAGTGTCTTGATGTGTTTCCCTAAACAAACGATCAATGAAAGAATTGCAGAATTGGGTATATCGTGGATGCATTGCATTCTTTCGAAAGCCATTGTTTCGAGATTCAATTGTTTGCTAAGCCTACCATGACCTGTCTCACTACTACCGCGCTTTATCAGTCTGTATTCAGTTTTATTAACGTATATTGGTGGCGCTCCCCTTGAGAAAAAAAAAAGAAAACAAAGGAACGATAGCAAGACATTTCAGTGATTAAATTCAAATAAATCTTTCGGTATCAGTTAGTTACCTTGATTGATTAGGTATCTGTTGAGCAAATAAAAAAAAAATTATAAGCGAGTTGAATTAAGTGCTGTACGTTTCCTTTGCACCTCATAATAACTTTAAGAATTAGTTACGAAAAAATATCACGACGTCTTCGAAATTATAAAACTTATGTCAATAAAATTATTAATAAATACGTAATTTATTAACATCGCTTGATCGGTTGTAGCTAATATGTATTAGGTAAGCATACAGAGGTAGCTTTTCCATTGAGTTTTGCCCTGCGGAACTTCCACCTTCTTACAAACAATTTGCAATAGGTTTTTATTGACAGTTCGTGTCAGACCGCATTTTTGCATATATTAACCTTAGAAATAATTAAAGGTACGCAAGCAGAAAAAAAAATGATTACACGGTTTGTGCCCATTTGTGCACTACATTGCAACTAAGTACATTATTTATAACCGTTGTCAGCGGCATTTTTGATTTCACTCAGTATTTACAGGCAATAATAACTCAGTAGATTGTTAATTTATAAAAGTATGAGAAACGTCTTAGTGGGTAATTAAACCTATTCCAATTCTAATTTCATACTCCTTCAGCATTCCGAAGAACATCAACTACTTAAATACGTCTCCACTGATCGCCGTTGAAAAGAATATCTTCTAATAAGTACCTACATCAATATACGTAATTAAAAATTGAAAGAACTGTGTGTAGTGTACGATATTCAAAGACAATTCAGACTTACCAATTGCTGCAATACATATTCTACTTCTCCTTGCTGTTATCCATGATTGACCTTTCATGAATCCTTAATCTGAAAAAAATAAGCTTAATAATAAGTCAAACCTACAAGCATAAAAACTTATCCTATCCTGGCCTAACTTAACATACGAATCTTACCCTAAACTTAACGTTGGTAGACAAACCGGCAGAAATCTTAAAGAAATCGAACTTTTGTACAAAGAAACAGTTATATAAAAGAACAAATCAAACTCTAATATATTTGCAAATTATGTAACAAAAGAGGAATATAGTTTTATAAAAAAAGTTGAAAAAGTACAGAACTAAAATTGTTACAAAATTAGAAACAACTAAACATAAAAAATTAGGCACTTTACTTAAAGGTACAACATAAAGGAGTAATTGCTCACTATTTGACTTAACTTTACCATCACAATTAATTGTACGCAACTGTTAAACGTTCATTTATCAGACTAACTTTACTAGTAAATATTGGCTAATATGTCTGATGTAACAAATGCTTGGTGAAACATATGCCAGCTAGAAAGTTTGAAAAAGGACCCTTCTAGATCCTCACGGAAAATTGCCCTCTGTCAAACTTTTTGAAACTTTAGATTCTGGTAATTCTCGATGTGTAGATTAAAAGTCTCAATGAGCTTTAAGTCGTAAAAATTCATCTTTATGAGATAGGGTCCCTTATAGTTGTATTCTTCCTAGGTACAATTATACGTATTGAAATCGTTCAATGCAAGAGTGTGGTACAGCTTAACGTCATACTGTACTTAACAGTGAACAAGCGCCACTTTTACTTAGACCACATAGAATATTCCATACACATTTTCACTTTTAATTTATTTTCACTAATCGTTCTCTTTGAAGGAAACCCCTTTGGAAAAACCAAATAAAGTCGCAGTAAAAATTCTTGTCAATTCAATAAACTTTCGATTGAGTACATCATCATCATCATCATTATACAGGATCGTCACTCATAAGACTGGTTAGACACACATCTTTCCTATCCTAAATTAATATTCGCATTTCTCTAAAAGTAGTAGAACTTTCCAGATCTTTAACTATTTGTGACCAACCTCAACTCCTCTTAACTCCTGTTTCTGCTTTTAATATATCTCTAACTAAACCTTCATACCTAAGAAGGTTTCCTACCAACCTCCTTCACCTAATTTTTATTGACTTACGTTAGATAATGAGAATTTAGAAGGGTTTGCTATTTGAAATAGAAAATAAAGACTATGACGATGAGGTGTACTACAGTTTCGCAAAATTCATTACCATCCCCGGTCCAAAACCATGACACATCCATAATATGCAATATATGCACAGTGGAATTCGTTTATTATGACTCCGCCTATACTGACTAACCGCATAATATGAAGTAATTTGGTTTTCATATTAAATTCCCTATAGGAACGTTTGGATATAATGACTCCGTTTAAAATGACATACCGTTTATTATGACTGATTCTCCAGAAATCATATCCGACTATAGTGACCCAAGTGATTAATAATAACATTTTTGCTCATTTTTCTGACCCTTCTTATGTATATTTATATTACAATTTATCTTTCCTTTCCTTTTTCTGTTAATAAATATATACAAGCTGTAGTTTTTCACTCTATTAAACTAAATAACTAACCAAAATAGAAAGTTGTTCATTTTCTAAGACTATGCAATGGATGGATGATGCCCGCTTAGTATGACGTGTTTGTCATTTCCCTTCGATGTCATTGTAAGCGGATTATACTGTAGGTAGAATACATCAACATATGGACATATCTATACTTGAACGTATTCAATAACTGTAATTGTACTTTGAAAGTTTAAGGGATAATATTGCAAAAATATGAGTTTTCACGATATACAGCCATTGCAACTTTTGATTTACACAACGAGAACTATCAGAGAATCCATAGTTTCAAAGAGTTTGCAGAGGGCCATTTTCCGTAAGGATCTAGCGGGGTTGTTATCCGGTTATAGGCATTCTTTGATAAANGTCAAATGCGTCCGTGTCTCCTTCAATTTTTTGTCGAAGCGGTCCAATAACTCACTGTAGTATTGTCCAGTGATCGTTCTTCCTTTTCCTAAAAAATCCGTAAAATGATTTCCTCGGTAACAACGTTTGCCAGACTTCCTGGTCGCTCCTATCAAAAACGGATCTTTGCCCACGTTTAAATTCGTTGAAGCAATATCTAACTGTGATCGTAGATGGCGAAATGTCTCCATAAACAGTATCCAACTTTGTTTTCATCTCGTCGCATTTTTTCCCATCCAAAAACAAAAGCGAGTTACCGAACGATAGTCCTCTTTTTCCATCTTAGCGAAAATAACGAAACATGTCTCCGTCGAATGGCTGCCAAATCCAAACTAACCTATCAATCAGTCTGAAATTCGTTTCGGCGTGGTTTGATAGATGGCAGCACACGATGACAACACCAATTTCCCTCAGGAACGTCCTCCGTCTTCAAACACGGGTACTCATTGAACCGCCCTCGTATTGCATAACATAAAGACAAAGAATGGAATTGCGTATCTACATTTGTTACTTTATATAGATACACATGTATATGCACAAGAAGGTAAGGAATCGCAGAATAGTGCCCTTTGATGTCGAAATCATGAAGTGACGTGCAGTCATGAGCAAAAATATCCCAGACAGAAATGCTTTGTTGCGCTCTGCCCAAATGAACCTGCGACATCTCCGAAATACATCATGCGAATAAATCGCAGTCTTTCGACAAATGCCGATCCAACAGCCGACAGGCCTAAATCACAATAGCTCAAATTTTACCTGTATCTACCGGCAAATCTACTACAAACTTCTAACCATGCATTCATTTGAACTGAAATGTGCAAAATGTTTTTTTAAAAGTATTTAAATACAAAATGCGAATACTTTTTTGATCTGTTGTTATTTCAAATGTAAAATACGAAATAGATTTTTCTTTTGTATCTTTGCTAAATGCAAAATATGTATTTTCAAAATACTTTTTTCAAATAAACACTTTTTTGTAGTACTTATTTAATTTTCTACATTTACTTCATCACAAGGTCGTCAGTCCTAAGACTGGTTGGACACGCTAATCTTCGCATTTCCCTAAAACTAGAACAACCCACATCCTTAACTATTTGCGAACACTAATCTAATCTAGGTCTACCTCTACATCCGTTTCAGTCTCTAATATTTTTTAAGAAACCCTTGCAGGCATTTGCTCATTTTTTAAATATTGTAGTTTTTTTAGACTTATAATGGTGTTTGCACTATATCACCAGCTGCGATGATTAAGTGATTCATATTTTTCTGTTTGAAGTGATTGAGATATAGTTTTTCTTTTTTTTTTATGCTATAGTTTCTTTAATTCAGCAACAAATAATTCCTTTATATGCTTCCTTATTTGCCTTTGTCACCCGTTTTAATTGGAAAAAAGACACTGATGCCAAAATATTTTTTTTACCGTGAAAGATCAGAGCTAAGATAAGGTTGCAAATAACTTTATTAATATAACTTCAACATCAACCATTTTATATCAAAATATTTACAACCCCATTTTGTTTCTGATCTTTTACACATTGTAATAAGAGAAAGAAATGGAATTCATAGTATCCTTAACTTTGGGTTCAACAAATAAGTGAAGTTTTTCGAATCGTTTTCAAAGAATTTAGGATTATACGCATTTATTAGCACACCGCAATACCTTCTAGTTTTCAGTTTTTCACAGCTGGCGTATATCAAAAGTTTTGTTTTGAAACGTAACGAATTCTTATTGGAGTTAAATTAGATAGATTACTTATAGGAATTCCAAATTTAACATAAAACAACCTAAAGATGACTTTCAGCGGATACCGTCGCCCTAAAAATTAATGTTCCACAAGATAATGCAACACCTCACTATATCCCAAATCAAATTGTTTTCTTTATGTTTGCTGTAAACAAACTATGTGCTGTAATTTATATATGAAAACAGAAGCATCATCGGATAATATCGTTCCTTAATTAAACAATTGAATTTTTTATGGATATATAGGCGAAAGAAGACTATTAACACATCTAACAATAATTAAGCCGAAAAAGTATACGTATGGTGTCTTAGAGTAAAGAGAGACCTTCTATTTACGGTCTTCTCAGACACGAAGTCTAGTATGAAGCTCATATTTTTTTTTTTTTTTAAACCTGAACAATATTAATAAAGAGAGTCAACAGTATTTTTGTTGCTAGGGCATGAAAGTAGTTTTTTACGTAATTTCGTGAAACTAGAAAAGCTATTAGAGGCAGAAGAACAGAACAGGAGTTAAGAGGAGTAGAGGTGGGCATAGATTAGATTACTGTTCGCAGATAGTTAAGGATGTTGTTCTAGTTTTGGGGGATTGCGAGGATTAGATCAGAATAGGATAGAGTGGATGATGATGATTGATAACTAGCTTTTACCGCGACTTCGAGCTCATGAATAACATTCGGACAACGATAATTTTTTCTTGTTTAAAATAAGTAAAATTGTCATAAACAACAAAGAATTAAACAGAAAAGTCGCCTAGGTAACTCTTAACAAGCTGCTCTTCGTGTTTTTAATATGCCATCGAAATCGATCCAGTCTTTTTGGGTCTCGGCTAGAGATAGTAAGTATAAGTCCTTTACAGATAATAAGTTTATACTTATTAAACTTTCTGACGTTGCCCAAAGAAGACGAAATACGTATACAGTATGATAATAAACTAAGCGAAACAGTTTTCTAAGTGTTTTTTTTGTAGTTAAAGTTTATTAAAGATGTTTCACCAAGAAGTCACATCCCAGATATTAGACCACCAAATAAGTCTAATTGTCATCATTGCGTTATTTAAAAAATCAATAAAAAATGTTAATTAACTCTGATTTTTCATTCAAATATAAATACATTTTAAAATAAACAGGGATAACTACAGTTCGCATTTCTATTTCAATTGGGAGATACTTTAATTTTTATTGGTTGGGCGATTTCATGCCTTAACTACTTAACCGATCGTCATGAAATTTCCTACATGCATTTTCAGGGTTACAGAAAAGAACATAGGGTACCTTTTAA